TTCCCTCCCTTAAAGGGGGGGGGGGGGTTAAGGTTTTTTTTCGAAACGAGGGGGGCTAGGGGCCCCCAAGAGAAAAGGGGCGACAGGTTTCCGTTTTCTTTGGGGGAAAAAAAAGAATTGGGAGGGACCATTTTTCGCCCCAAAAATCACTCAAAATAAAAATTTAAAGGCCCTAAGATGGCCTAACCGAAGCCGGGGGGGGGGGGGGGTAGTTCCGCAAACAGCTATGACCGGGGAGGGGGTGCGCGGGGTCAGTCAGGTGGGGGTTAGAGTGGACACGAAATTCGGGAAAGTTATCTAGCGTGCTCGACAACTCGGCCAGTTTGGCTGCCCACCAAAGTAGAAGCTCGAACGGGAGACAAGAGCGTCGTGTTTCCCACGCGAAACAGAAGCTCGAACGGGAGACAAGAGCGTCGTGTTTCCCACGCGAAACACAACCTTCATAATTTGCCGACTTCGTCCTGAGTTGTTTTGGGGGTAACGTGAACCTTCGTTCGTCTGGTTTAATTCTTGCAGCAAGAGTTTCACTACAGTACCCCCTCGAATAAAAAATACGAAAGCGTTCGTATCCCAATCCCAGCGCGAGCGTGATTTCTCCCAGGAGGACGAGGTTGAGGGCAGCCAGTCGCACAAACCGTTTAAATAATGCTGCACGACCAAAAACAAAAAAACGAGCTTATTGCACCTCTGACTGCGTACCGTATGTCTGCTACGTGTTTGTTCTTGAAGTGGAATCAATCGCGTTAACCGACTGACCGATGAGAGGCGTCAGTCTTGTAGCGGGATAAAAACGCGCGAACACGATTTCTGCTGCGCGCGCGCGTGTGTAACTTACCATTAGCATCGACCGCGCTAAACGGTTGGCCGATGAAAAGGCGTGTATGTGTTGTTGCCCCATCTGTTCCTTCGAAAGCCTACTAACTTTTCGGTGCATACTCTAAACGTTCGACGTACAGCTGTGGCTCCGATACAAGGTACTGTACCTTATGAGAGGGGGCTCCGATATAAGCGGGTCGAAATTGGTTGTCATGGACTCGACCCGCTGGACCCTTCTTATCCAAGAGGGGGCTCCAAGAAACGAGGGTCGAGGGCCTTCGTCACACCACCCTCTAATATCGGAGCCAAGATTACATAAGATTCAACAGCCCAAAAAGGTCACGTGTACGTGATAAAATAATAAACCCAGGCAGCAGCCGCCCAGGCCGAGACCTTACCCGTCGAGGCAGAAACGCTTCTCCCCAGGCCTGGATGATGTCCAGGGATTGGTCCGCGATCGCCAAGCTCTGCCGGTTCGTCTTGAAGGAATAGGTCTGCCGGGGTAAGGTGGGCAGTGCAGGGTACGGCGTTAGGCATCCCCCGGGTGGTGACGGACGACCACATGACGGTTGGTGTCGGGATAGTTCTCGTTTCGCCCAGGAGAAACGAAAAAAGTAGGCGTCTTCGTTCAATGAAAAAAATAGGCTTGAGGTTCAATGAATAGGGGGGCGTTCGCGTTCGACAAAAAGTGGCGCTTGCGTCCGCCCATTTATATCAACTACATGGACGTTGCCGTTGTTCGCCGCAAAGCGTCCGGTGTCATTTCGGCGAGGGGGTGTCCGGCCAGGAAAATATGGTGGGGGGGAGATAGAGAAGAGCGCCGCGTGCTTGGCCAATGAGAAGGCGCCAACTCTCGCCGGGGACCAGGTGCCTGAAATGCGTGCAGGGATGCTGCGCACGAAATCGTCGCCTCTGCACGGCAGTGGAGCATCGCGCTCGTTGTCTTCCTTCTGTCTCTCTTAATATAGGTGTATCCATCTCTGTCTGTCTCTGGTCTCCACACAAGAGCCAGCCAACCCCCTCAGCCTTATTGCCAATGTTAGTTTTCCCTCTCCAAATAGTAGCGCCATGCTCTCGGTACCTGCCTACGTCTGTCCCCTCCCCCCGGCTTGCTCACCCTAGCAATTTTGGCCACAGCGGCCATGAACCTCTCCGACGCGATCTCTCTGTGGACTGGATCGTGACAGTTCTTCACCAGCGTCTCGGCTAGCGTTAGTGCCACGGACAAGACCATCGTGTTGCTTGACCCTAGCTTCTTGCGCAGGATTCGAATCACTTCGGTCAGCCTTAGGAAACGAAGAGACAGTTGGGGTGGGGGGTTCCGTCATGGCTCAACCTCAACTCATGCCGCGGAGGATAACGGTGACACGTGAAACATGAGATGAGAGCTTCAAAACATGGCCATGGTACTTGCCTTACTTAAGCTCACTATATGGTTATGATTCACACCGAATGCACGACGCAAGGGTACAATGTCCTATCTTATTGGTGAGACGGTCTTGTGGCGGCCGGTAATCCCGCCCAAACTTCGCTTTATTGAAGTTCTTGTTTGACGATCGGCGTAGACAGACCCGCATTGTCTTGAGACTCACCCCCAAACTTGGGTTGAATGATGGGCGTGGTCTGGAAGTTTACGTATGCATAGGAATCTACGGCGTCGCATTGGGACGGCCTTGTATTTTGCGCGCCTCTTTCGCAACGGTACGTTCCATAATTTTCCCCGGATGGTGCGTCACACGTACACCGACAGGTCTAGGGTAGTGGTGCCCAGAATCGGTGGGACCACAAGGACCATAAAACGCACACTACTGGAGGCAACGTTGTGCTTTCAACAGCACTGAGACTGGCGTATTTTCATTGGTCAGCCGGTTACATAGCGCGGTCGATCCAAATGATACTAAAACACGCACACCAGCTAGGAGCAAGAGATTATAAAAAAGTGCGCACGAGGGGGGGCGAAAGAGCCAGCAACACGACACACGTACGCAGCCAATCAGCACACGAAGAACAATCTTACCGCGCGATTTTCCTTAATCTGCACTCACACGACGGGGTCCTGCTCACGGTTAAGGTCGTCCACGATCTGCATGTTGAGCGTCCAGTCCGGCGAGAGGAGCATCTCGCCGCAGGCGTTCTCCACGTCCTTCATCATCGCGTCTGTTGTTTATCGTCGTTTTCGTTGTTGTTTTTAGCACGCTTGCATATATAAAATCTCAGATACAAGTACCAGTTGAGATTAAGCCGCAGCAGTCGAAGGGGATGTTGCCATGTTTTTTTTTTTTTTCTCAGTAGACCCAACGAATCCATCTCTAAATAAGAAAAGTGACGCTATGAATCCATTGCTAATCTGTCTCAGACTCTTTTCTATGATAGAGATGGTTTCGTTGTGTCATATTAAGAAAAAAAAAAAAAGAGTCTACGAAAGATTAGCAATGAATCCATAGCGTCAGCGAATGTATATCGTTGTTGTATTTTTGTTTCAAGACGTGATGCAGCAGAAAAGACCCCACCACATCCCGTTCGACTGTGGGTATATCTCGAATGGGTAGTCTTTCTGTGTGTGTTTTTATTATTCCTTAAGTCCATCCTGCTCCCATCCTGCTCTCTCGGTCGACTTTCGTGACAAGAGCAATTTCGCCGCGCTCTGTCATTCGAAAGAAACATCTTGTCCCGCAAAAGGCTCGAACAGCTCCTTTCTGCGCCTCAACGATTGAGGACAGGCTGCTGCTTTGACACTACCAAGGGTTTTAAGACGGTGCCGGTGGCCGAGACCAGCAAATTTCTTAGCCCGCAGAGTTCATGCGGAGGATGTGACGTTGTCATGGTCTATAGAGGCCGCCGACAGCAGGACCACAAGCAGTACCATTCGTGCTGGCAAGGCCTGTTCGTAAGTAAGGGACTTCTCCGTTGGACAAGTGGACGCAACCCCCCGCCCCGCGAAGTTGCCGCTTATTGCCACTTGGTCACCCTGGTTGCCTCTCTCAAGTTGCGAGAGGAGATTATGGTCCACGTACAGCTATCTACAGCAGTACAAGACTCAGCCTCGCTTTCGACATCGACTCCAAGAGGGCTGCTGCTGTCCTTATTCATCAAGTTCAACAAGCACCGACACACACATATATATCTCACCGCATCTTGTGCGCGCCGAGTCATCCATGGGTGGAGCAATGCGGAACAGCGACGCCATTGCTCTGTCTCGAGGCCTCTTTCACGTCCTAGGCCAGTCCTTTCCCTCCCACGCGCACCCGGTGTGCAATACACGCGCGCCGGAGACAGCAAGCAGCAGTGTCGATCGATTCTACGCTACAGCAGTACTGCTGGAACGTCTTGTAAGAAGGGAGGATGAAGGAAGTCAGCGACTACACCTGGGCAGCACCCACAACACAACTCGGTCGTCTTCGACGCTTTTTGTACTCCCTCTCTCTCTCTCTCTCTCTCTCTCTCCTGGCTTTCTCGGTAGGAGTACGCCGCTCCTATATTTTACAGACAGGACACAGCAATTGGCACTGCTCCTCTGTCTTGCAAGCAGCTGGCTGCACACAGCACAACATTTTGGAACTCGACAGAGGGGGTCCGTGAAATGTTTTGGTGAAAGTGTCTCCCCCTCCTGGGCTGTGGGTGTGTCTTTTGGGTGTTCTTGGGGGTGTGGAACGCGGAGGATCTTTCTAGCATCCGATTTTTTTTTTGTGGAAGTTGAGATTCGCCCATTCACCCGTCGTCGTGTCTTCACGGCCCACTTTTCATGATCTACCGTTCTGCCCCTGCCCCTGCCCCGTCCTCCCACAAAACAACTTCATCTTTTTTCAGAACGTTGCATTCTCCCCTCTCTCGATTGTCACGGAGGGCTAGAGTGTGGCTCGGTGTCGATGCTGTGAGCAACGCTTCGCTCAAAGGATAGGTAGATATCCGACGACCATCAGCATCGATAGCACGCGGAAACTTTCCGGAGACGAGCCCTGTTTTTTCGCAACCAGCAGCCGGCGTGCAGCCCACCACACTCAGCCGACCCTGTAGGACCTGCCAATTATTATCCATGGCCCCAGGAGGAGCAGCCGCCAGGCTACAACAGCAACTCACACATCGGGGAATGCCAAGCGCAGAAGAGGGAGCAGGTGAGCCTTTCTCCGCTCCTGCTCATTACCATCATCAGCTCTGGGGCAGTTGTGCGTGTCCGGTCCATGGCATACGCACGAACCGAGTTGCGTGCTTCTTTCTTTCCAAAAGCGGTGTTTCTCTGTCGTGCTACATAATGCCTCACATACCGAGTTGCGGACGTTAGAATTAAAAAGCAAGAAATACGGGGTGCTGCGGAGAGATGGTGCGCACGAGACGGAGACAGAGAGATGGATGGTGTCCTCACCAACGCCTCCTGCCCCTGACTAGTGCGTGCCCCTCATCATCATGCTGTATTCCGCCCGAACTTGTCGAGAGTCTGCTCGTCATCTCAGCTAACTCGCTCAGCCACACCTCTCATCATCATCATCCTCTCACATTTTCTCATGCATATTCCACATGTCTCTCATCAGGTGTTTGTTTTTCTGTTTCTTTTCTGCGAATTTCTTGGCTCTTTTTTGGCGATGGCAAATGATTGCGTGCCTCACAGCAAGACATGCAAAGCAGACGAAGTACGCGGCCCATGGGGGGGATTGGTGACGCTTTCTGCTGAGCGGCTTCCCAGCGAGAGCACGACTCGAAATGCGAAAGCGGGCAGAAAATTGACGTTATTGTGGGTGTGTCACCGAAGGGCCTTCGTTTTCTGTTCAATTGCCGACGTGCCGCTTGTTGATTGTGGTGCCGTACGCGTGCATGTGCCCATGTGCAGCAGTACTGCGTACGCGTGTAAGCAGGCACACGGAAGGCGATCGACAGAGTTGTGTGCAACCCTGTCAACATACTTTGCGAATCTGACACTGATCAGCGGTGGTTGGGAAATCTGCCAGCTACCACTGTGGGCTATTGAGTCTGTCTGTGTGAATCCTTGCTTGGGTCGTTCTCTCCTATATTACCACCGCTGTACGCATATAACGCATATAGCCGCGGATGGATGCATGCACATCGCGTCGGTTCTTCCAGTATAGCAGCAGTTATCCGCAGCAGCAGCAATCGCTACGGCATCCTCCAGGAGGACAGCCTTCCCCGATTTCACGTTTTTTTCAACTTTTTGTTTCAGTAGATGAGGGATCACACAACGATGTGCACATTTCTTTCTTTCTTTCTTTCTTTCAAATCTACCTAGGAGACTAACAAGAAGTGACCTGACACTCTTACTCTTTGTGGAAGAGACGACTAGTTGTGGGTCGTACATATGCGCATAAGAATCCATGATGTTTTTTTTTTTTTAGCCAACCAAGGCCGGAGGAAGTCAACGTGGTTATAAAAGTGGATCTTCCCGCTCGTAGTCTTCGTCCGGGTGGCAAGTGTCAAGTCGCGGTGTACAATAATTCCGGCAAAGAGCAGCCCTCAACCATGCGTGTACAATGAAGTAAGCCCGCTATCAACCAGGCATGCATGCACTAAATAGTCTACGCATGCATGCATACATACATACTGCTGTGCAAATATTTGCAGAGGCCTGAAAGAAAACGTAAACGTTGCCTATTGTGGTGCAATGCATGTTCTGGCACACCAAATAAAAGTCCACATGCAAACAAACGTGCCAGCCAGAGGATTGAGTCGTGGTGAGCGGTTGCTGCGCGTCGGCCTCGCGATACAAAAGGCTCAGGTTTTAGAAGGAAGTAGCTTGCACTGATAGACTAAATCGACAGAGAAACACTCCTTCAGCCATGGATCCTACACTTAAATTCTGCCAGGTAGACTACAGTACTGCTGCAATGAGCTGTGGTCAACGGTGGTGACGAAGGAGAAATAAGCCTCGACCCCAAAATGACGATTTAAACGCGGGCGCTAATAATGCACCCTATTCTCTGAAAAAAGGGCTGGTTGCCTGGCGTTGCCTGGCGGGGTAAAAATACACACATGTCCCGGCAAGGTTGTGTGTGTTTTCGTCTTATATTGCGGCGACAGTCCCGGTTAGATGGGTGAAATGATGAAAAGACCGCGTACAAATACGATGCTCCCCTTTTCGCGAGTTAGTTAGGTGGATTGCCTCCCGGGGGGGACGCAAGAGGACATCACGGAGGTCGCATCGTTGCATCTCAAGGTCATGACGTTCGGTAGTGCGGTTTTTGCGTACAACCTGAAGAATTTGCCTGGAGCTTGCAAAATGTCCGGGATGTTTTTTTGTCTCGCCGTGACTCTTTGGCGTGTACGTACGTGTGAGTGTGTGCTTCTAGGCTAGTGGCGTCTTTGCTGCAGGTCCTACTGCTGTAGTCCGCTGCGTCTGATCACCCACTCTTCTTATGCATACGTGTTGTCCATGGTCTGTGGGAACTTGTATGCGTTGCGCAGGAATCAAAAGTCCTCTGTCCTGTTTATTAATTCAGAGCGCTTTTTTCTCTTCGTATTTCTTGCGAAGGCTTTCTTCGCGCTGAACGCGTCCCCGGGGTATAGAGCCAGTTTTTTCAACTTTGGGCGTCAAGCGCACGCGAAACGGGTGGCTGGCGGCCCTCGTGGGTGCACAGCAATGCACCGACGGTCCCCCTGCGTGCCCCTGAGAAGGAAGCGTGAGAAAAGGCTCGCTTCTGCCAGCGAAATATGTCCCGAAGCTCGAAAACAGGCGAAACAGTACATACCACACATCTACATATGCATATGCATACGTAGTATTTCAAGTAATTGTTTTCAGGTCAAGTTCCAACAAAAGCTGAAATCTTGGCCAGAACAGCGGACTGTCATTTCAAATATATGATAAATCGGACTAACCTGGTTATTGCGGACAAACAGGGGGGGGGGGGGGGGGGGGGGGGGTTGGCGCACCCTCCA